ACAACAACCATCCCAAGGGCATTCAACCATAACAACACAACAGCCACTGACGGCGAGCATTCAACCACATTACCAATGTAGAAACAACCTACTTCGCTGTATTACTTTATTAATTTGACATCAACAAAGCAACAACACATGCCCAAGGGCATTTTCGGCAACTTCCATGCAGTGGGAAAAACCCTAGAATATTGTACGGCCGACAGTTTTGACCGACAACTGTGTTGACACCTAGAATAATGTACAGGTACACGCTTTATAGTAAAGAAACTCAGAATCTTACCTTTATCTTTTCCCCTGCTCGGTTTTTGTCACGCCACAGTCTTCCTCGATTACACGCCCAAACACCCTCTTGCAGCTTCCTTCCCCCTCCAGAGCACTTCCAAATCCACCGCCGGTGTCTTCACAATAGCATTCCCTTCATCTTCGCCTCTCCAACTCCGCTGGGTTCGATTGGGGTTTCGCTTCGACTATCAACTCTGGCTGGTTCCTCTGAATTGGCCTTCGCGTGCGGCCGCTTCGAAAAGTGCAACGATTGGGGCTAATGGGGTACCGATTAGGGAGGATAATGGGGTTCTTCTCCACTGTCCTTCCCTCTGCAACGGGCTATCTTTGGGGTTGCCTTCAATTGACGAACGAGTCCATTGAGGCCCTTTTGTTCTCATTCTTTTGTAAATAACTCTTCATTATTCAATAAACACATCGACAGTGAATGGAAAAAATTTGGGAGCGGGTTTTAATTGGGATTTAGGGTCCTCTTTTAAGTTTTTCACGTGGGCGGGAGAGCTGGGCGGGTCGGGTTCGCGGTCCGGATTCGTGGGAGGTTCGGGTACGGTATGGGAAGAATCCGGGTTTAATTAATGTGGGTCCCACACGCCACCTGTGTCCGACGTGGCACGAACGGTGACGTTTTGCTTCTTAATACGGCGTCGTTTTGCTACAGTACAACGCGCAAGTGCCCGGGCAGCTTCCACGTCAGCAGGTGCCTGACCGGGGGTCTATTTTTGGCCTGCCCATGGAATCTCGGGGTACCTGCCCGGCCAAAAAAAATATCGGGGTACCAAATTGGCCAAACTACTAAATATTGGGACCCAAAAAACCCAAAAACCCTAACTTTAACTATGTGGCAGCCGAGCTTTTGGGTGTGGGTTTTAATTTGAGATGGAAATATATAATATGTGATTAATGAATCTATGAAAATAGAAAATAGAAAGGTTGCACAATAATAACTAATTTCTATAGAATCAACCACTTTAGGCCTAAAATACTTATTACCAGAGTCAAGGTACTCATCCAAGTTCTATACCTGAAATATATATTGTAGTTAAACTTTCTGATGTGTAAAAGAACAAGGTCGTTGTATTATAGTGGTGAATATTTCTGCTTGTCACGCAGGGGACCCGGGTTCAATCCCCGGCAACAGCGCTGTTTCTATTTGTTTGTCCTAAGAATTAAGTGAGTTAGGAATTAAAAACTCTATGTATATATGGGGTTTTATTAATAACCACTTCTCTCTATAACTTCAGAAAAAAAAAATGAGCATAACATTCTACTTCTGTCATTTTTTTCCTTGTTTATTATTTTCTTGTTGCCCCCTATGCCACCTTTATTGAACTGCTTTTATTTTTTTATTTGTATCATGTAGGATTTGAGGAGAAATTTCAGATGTAAGTTGAAAGTTAATTGTTCCAGTAACATCTGATTTAAGTCATTAGATAACAAGATATGACTGAATCTGCGGATTTTGTTCAAGCACTCAAACATTGAATTGATTGTTCTCACTTAAGGAGTATGATTTATCTAAAAGAAAACTATAATTTGTTTACAAATAAACAACAATTTTATTTTATTATATAGGGGATAGCATGCCTCTACAATCAGTCAGGGTATAACATTTATCTTAAAAAATTATAATTTATTTGGAAATAAACAAAAATTTTATTTTATTATTTTGGCCATACAACTAGATCATACATTGTATTTTACAGCATTTCAGTAACTTATGCTTCAAGCTTATAGACAAATTTTATAATTAACCCTAAACAATAGTGCCACGTACTATCCCTGCAAGTAGTAGAAATATACATTAGTAAAGATATATAGTTGTAAAAAAATTAATATAATTTAGCCTTAAAAAACTATCTATTACCTCAAAAAAAAATATTCGTAATCAACGGTTGATAAGCACCGTGTTTGTTCCGCCCAAAATATTATATTGTCACCTCGATTTCGCAGTTTGGGCCTTGAAAAGTTCCAGAAGCCATAGGCATCATGTTGTGGATGGTGAAGTGTGGAGGACTGGGCCCAATACAATTATCCTTTTGGCCATGTCTCATTGGGAAATATTGAGGAAAACTATGTCCTAAATCTGTAAATAAACATGGTAAAAATCAACTTTATCATTTTGTTTCTTTGTTGAAAAAAAAATGTTTGTGAAACAATATTTGGTAGCAATGTTTTGTTTGTCGAAAGCTAGCATAGGTTGGTTTTGGTATATATAACCAAATAGTTTTTTTTTGAAAGTAGCATATAAAACTATGTACAGAAATGATGATCCTTTACCTATACAAAAAATATCAAAAGGTCAATCTAGTGGGGTGTGCAGCACCCCTGTATATATGGCCCAAGACCTTTCCCTTCCTTTCTGATGTGGGATTCCGTCACATTCTCCCCCACCGAATCCGACGACACCCTCGTCGTCGACCGGGCACCCTGCCTACTCCGTCCTTATGGAGCGCTTGGCGTGACATCGGAGTTGGGTTGGGTCGGCTCCGCTACCACTTGTCACGGGGTCATTACCCTCTCCCCAAAAGGACAACCTAGTGGGGTGTGCAGCACCCCTGTATATATGGCCCAAGACCTTCCTCTTCCTTTCCGATGTGGGATTCCGTCACATTCTCCCCCACCGAATCCGACGACGCCCTCGTCGTCGACCGGGCACCCTGCCTACTCCGTCCCCACGGAGCGCTTGGCGTGACATCGGAGTTGGGTCGGGTCGGCTCCACTACCACTTGTCACGGGGTCATTACCCTCTCCCCAAAAAATCAACCTAGTGGAGTGTGCAGCACCCCTATATATATAGCCCAAGACCTTCTCCTTCCTTTCCGATGTGGGATTCCGTCACACATAGTCTATGCCAATGCCATAGTTGCATTTAATTCATTGAAAGAGTAGTGGTAAAGAGAAAAAATGGACATACCCCAGATTGTGAGATTCATTCCACACCAAAATACCATCTCTTCTTCCAAAGACCGTGAATAGTAAACCTTTGGGGATAACTCCATTACCCCTACTGCAAACGCGATTTGGCCAAGTCATGGCCGAAAGGAAATATTCAGGAGTAATTAACTCTGCCCAGCAAGGCAAAGTAAATAATGAAACAGCATAACAATAAACTTTTTCATTTACTTTCAAATGGTGGTTGAACAATGCAGAGCTATAAGTTTTTGGGATAAAAAGCTATCTTCATTAATGATTTGGCTGCAGTTATATAGTTTTCAAAAAAAAAAATTGTACTATGTGGACAGTGGGAGGGGAGATAAAGGATGATGCCCTCATTTAGGAGGCGTTTTTCAACAAACTATATTACAGACAAAACATACGTCTCATCTACTGACTTTATTTAGTAGAATCACCCTTCCTAGTGGAACTAAACAAAAAAAGATCTGTTTTGTCTTCTAATCCTTAGGGGTCCGCCATAGTTTAATTTTCCACATTGTTCAATTTGCGCTCTTCAAAGAGTAAAGCCAAAATGAGTTGGCAATGTATTTTTTTAAAACAATCCTACTACAAAATAGAGTCATTGAAACATTAAATAGTATGGTTTAAAAAAAAATAATTAGGTACCGTCAAGATTGTTATACCACACTAGCATATTTGACAACCCTGCAGATGATATTTATCATCATACTAGCTCAAATATTGTGCTTTATCGCGGGTTAATCTATTGATTAAGATGTTTCTAATATTTGTGAATTAAGAAGTCCATAACCATAATTACCTTAAAATTTATTATTGTTCTTTTTGTATAATTTATATTTATACAAATAAATTCACTGTTCATAATAAAACTTTTTAAAGGTAGAATGGCCGATTCAGTTGGTAGTGAACTTCCTCCATTTAGTGTATAATATAATTTGCATCCGAATCATTTGGATCCCCTCTAGGACTAAATTTTGGGTCCGCCCCTGATACAAAATGTTACCCATTTTATATTTGTTTCGCATTTGTTTTATGAGCTAATTCAATCGGTTTCAATATGGCCCCCATACGACTAAATCTTAATCTTAAGTCCGTCGCCGATTTAAAGTGTTTTGATTCACAAAACTAACTTGTTTTGAGCTGTCTATGTTTTCTTATGCTACGAGAAAATCCAAACAATCGGACTGATCTCTTTGTGTGACTTGATATGTTACTCTTGTGAGGTAGGAAAATATAATACACAACCTTTTGCTGATTAGGATATAGATACAAATATTAACACAATAAGCAATACGCATAAAAAATTGGCCCTAAGATTGAAAAAGGGACATCAATCACAGAATATGGACAATTGTTGGAGTCAGCATGACACAGCATTTTGTTGGTGTCAATGGTAATAAATTGGGTGTGACAATTGTTATAGGCTGTTACAATATGAACTTGAGCTCCTTTTATTACTTTTTCTCCTGTTTTTTCCATATATAATTTTTTTTTATAGTAAAACGGTTTCATTTCATTCATATGAAGAGGATCAGTTACAATTATTTTGCATAGCTCTAATAATAAAGGGAGGTGCAAAATCTAGCCATTGTTCATGTGTCCCAAAGTCTGGTACACGCTTAGCAAGCATATATGTGCAACCGAGTTTTGAGAACGGAGAATATGACAACATTCAAAAACCGAGTTTTTCCCATATATAATTGTCTTGCCATCTTACTTTTTCCTTGGGATGCAAAGACGAAGAGTTTCCTCCCGGCTCCTCTGTATACATAGATGTGTACTTTCCTCAGGTTGAAATGAAATTACACCAGACTTCGAGCACTTTTGATATGCCAATGTTTTTAAGGAGTGATGATATCTCAATTCAACATAGATTAATAATTGAGGAAGCGTGTGAGCAAATGAATTATACTATTCTAATATTGGGTTAGGTAATCTGTAAAAATCATATAATCTATCATGGTATCCGAAATTGATCAGAGTATAATTAAATCAAAATTAAACAGTATCCGAGGCCAAATATTAGCAAATTGAGATATGGGAACCAAAATTATCAATTTAGCGAGTATGTGACCAATTATTTAAACCCGGCCTGGCCATTGACCCGTTTTAGTGGCCGGGTCGCGATTTTATAGGTTTAACCGTGGTTCAAGTAGGTTTGACCGGTATTGATATTGATAATAAAAATATATAGTTTTTAGCAAAAGGTCTGATCATGGTCTGACCAGGACAAAATTTTGAAATTTTTGACTTTAAACAAGGAAAAAACCGGAAATGGGTCAATAAACCCGAAAAATCTATAAAACCCGTCATGACCCGGCCGGTTTTTTTAAGGATACAACCCGGAGGGGTAAAAAACCTGGAGTTGTCTCCGAGTCACGGTTACCTCAGTTCAACCGGCCAGGCCGATCTGGGTTTGACAACAATGTGATTAACCCCTTACCACCAAGCAAATAATAGCACGTGTTAATTCACTCACAAATATAATAAATTAGATACATCTTAAAGAAGAAAATAATTACTTTTGGCATATATTTAAACTGCTCCTTATCAATTTAGATAACTGTTTTTTTTTAATTACAACTTAGATAACTGTTGAATAAATATGTATTTGTCTTTTCTCATTACCTTAAAGTATATGATAATCCGTGAGTACCAAGAAAGAAACAACACATCAACAAAGTTATCCATGATTGTTGACATATATAGACGGATCGACAGGGGATTACCTTAAAATATAAGATTATCCGCGAGTATAAAGAAGGAAACAACACATCAACTAAGTTATCCATGATTGTTGACGTATACATACAGATCGAGAGAGGGCGAGTAGGGACAAGATAGCATAAATTTATGCTCTAACGCATTTATAAAAACATATAACATAAGATAACACAAAGGCTAATAGTTACAATAGTCTTCTTTTAACATCAAGGCTCCGGTGGCTCAAGTTGTTTAGTGATGCCACTTGTGTATTTATTTTTTTCCTAATTTAATTTCTTAGACCCTCCACCGTCTTTATTCTCTAGATACCATTGGAGACAAACAAAAAAAAAGGACTAACTAAGTTCAATATTTTTGTATAACTCTAACTAAAATGTGGAATGCGAGCTTTTTGGGTGTGGATTTTAGTTTGAGCTAGAAATATATAGGAAGGTTTAATATGTGATTAATGAATCTATGAAAATAGAAAGGTTGCACAATAATAATTAATTTCTGTAGAA